AGATGACCCCCCCCCCAAGGTCCCTCCCCACTCTCTTATTCTGTAAGAGTCTACTTCTCTAGCAGGGGGCTGGATTAGATGACCCCCCCCCCAAGGTCCCTCCCCACTCTCTTATTCTGTAAGAGTCTACTTCTCTAGCAGGGGACTGGACTAGATGACCTCCAAGGTCCCCTCCAACTCTAAATCTGTAAGTCTGCTTCTTGAATAGAGGGTTGGACTAGATGACCTCTGAGGTCCCTTCCAACTGTGATTCTGTAAGGCTCTCCTGCTTGAGCAGGGGGTTGGACTAGATGACCTCCGAGGTCCCTTCCGGCTCTGTGATTCTGCTCCCTCTCCATAGGCTGCCCCATGTCAAGAGAGACCTGGCACCTCCACCAGCAGTCCTCAACCTGTGACCAACCTTCCATTGCTAAGCAAGCCATTGGTGAAGCACGGTTTGTTCCGTCTTACGAGTGTTCGCAGAACGGTCGTTAAGTGAATCTCTGCAATTATGACTTGAGCAACACACAGTCGTTAAGCGAATCCAGCTTTCTCCATTGACTTTGCGCACAAGGTCACAAGGGTGTTCAGGTGACGCTATGACCGTCATAAATACGAGTCAGTGGCCGAGTGGCTGCTTTCCCTTCTTTCCCTCACTCTCAGGTCACAATTTTTCTCCAGGCGCAATGCAACATCTGGGCACCAGGGGGCGCATGTGTCCCTCAGCGCTCAGGCTCCTTTGTGCCATTCCAAGAACGGGGGGGGGGGAGGCGGGCCAGCCGACATTAAGTGAGACCTTTGTTAAGTGAGCTTCAGTCCATCTGACAAGCTTTCTTGCCACTGTTGTTAAGTGAATCCCTGCAGCAGATAAATGCGCCACCACGGTCATTAAGCGAATCTGGCTCCCCCTCCTTGCCTTTCGCTTGTCAGATGGTCGCAAAAAGGGATCGTGTGACCCCCGTCCTAACTGTGAGTTAGTCGCCAAGCCTCCGACTAATGGGAAAGCCGTGACGGTCATAACTGTGAAAAACAGTCGTAAGTCTGGACTGACTGCCGGACTTCCTGGGTCAGGTAACCCACTCCTGCTTGGAAGGGTTCTTTTGAGGTCAT